CCATTCAGGCCAAAAAAGGGCTGAGAATAAGCTGCACCGCTAACGATTGTGCTTCGGCGCTCGTCATGACGCCCCTCAAAGCTGGGGGCTCGGGCAGGTGCCAGCTGCGACGAATGCACAAGCATGCCAACCAGCCGGCTTCGAGGAGGCAGCAAAGAGAGCACCAGGGCCCGGGCGATGAAACCTCCGTGAAGCGAGCCGCGACGCAGACTCCAGACTTGGAAGATGGACAGACGATTTATTTATATAAATCTTTAAATGCCTCTATGCCTGGACGCCGGGGATAGAGGCATTTAGAGATTTATATAAATAAATTCCCCGGGGAAGCCAGCTTCAAAGAGAGGAGTGCACCAAGCTTCGGACCGCTCATCGGAGACCTGGGCAAACCAAGAGGGCAGAGCAAGTAGGGAAAAGTTGTCTGTCTGTCGGTCGCTGCGCTCACGCTTCCTGTCTCACCTTGCGGTGAAAGTGATCAGTACCAGAAGCGTGTCCAACCGGAGTTTTTCCTCACGAGTTTTCACGAAGAACGGTGTTTTCCCTGAAGTTTTCCTGAAGCATGATGAACATCAGAGTGTTTTCAGTTTGTTTGCTGTGAGAGCGGACTTCTAGACTCTAGACGAAGTCCGGGGAACACCTGGGCCATAGAGCAGAGTTACCAGTGCAGAGAAGCCGTTAGGAGTCCTTAGGACTTGCCACGGAAGTGAGTGTGCTGAAGTCTCTGTCCGCGCCCCGTTTCACTTGGCTCAAGCCTTGCACTGCGTGACAAGCGCGTGGTGAACAGTTGGTTGCGAGGAAAGGTGTAAAAGTGCTGTTAGCTTCCACTGCTGTAGTCTTGCTTGACGTAGTCAGTCAGTCGGCTTGCACCTCCTTTGTACTAAACCTAGAAGTGTGCCTCAAGGCGCGTTTGGGTTTTAACGTGGTAGCGGAGCTCAAGGTTGCTCCTCAGAGCCATGGACCCACGAGCCGAGCCTGGCCGCGACCGTTCCCCAAGAGGACGGAGTTCTATTGTCTTGGATGACAGGGCAACGTCCTTCCGGAACAAATCAGGTAAGCCTGCGTGGCCGAAGCGGCAACAGACAAAGACGAACTGAAGCAGCCCAATGCCATGCGCCAAGACACCCTTGGCCCTTGGCAAAGAGGAGCATGTCAGGCAACCGTCCAGCCCGAGCGGCGGAATTTAGAGACAGAAACTAAGGCCCTAATAACAAGCGCCAGTAAATTTTGAGAAGCCCTGGAATGACATGATTTGAAGGTGTTGCCGGTCCTCCTGGGACGAAAGCCGGCCATTGCCCTAAACGGAGCTACCAATGAAGTTCGAGAGCTCGGTTCCAGAACCTTTCCCAGAGCAACGATCAAAAGACTAGAGTTTTGGGGTTGCGCTACGTATCATTACAGAAATGGGAGCTACAAAGCTGTCCTGTTACTGCTGTTCTTATTGTCATTACTACCTGCTGTTCCGGACGTCAAGCTCTGAAATTAGTGCCTGCTGTTTTTAAATATCTCCGTGGCAACAACTTATTTCCTAGGGTCGATTTTTCTGTCCCTTGCTCCTGTGCAACTACTAGCGTGCCTGAAGCTGCATAGAGGGCTGCCAACTTTAAGGAATTAGTCAAGTGGGCTATCGTCACAGAGCGAGGGCATGCCTGCAGCCGCTCCTAAAACAGGGTTTTGCACTGAAGCTTCGGGACGGAGATGCCAACATCGTTGCTCGAGATTGCTGTGAAATACTATTGTTCTGTCTTCTTGCGAGAAAACCGCTGACAAGAGTTCAACGCACTCTTGTGAGAACTATATAATGCGTTGACTAGTCAGCCATCGCATCTCGACAATCGTCCATGTGTTCTCATTTGAAATAGGCCTATCCCCATGTATTCCGCAACATCGGGAAACAAGCACATCGATTATTGCAGTAATTTTCTTTTCGTAGTTTGTGAAGTGTGTCATTATTGCGTGCTTGCCCGAAGCCTATGCATGCCATATACAAGTCATAATATATATATATATATATATATATATATAAGTTGCTATGTTACCAGCTTGTGAACTGGGAGCCCTAAACCCGAACTGGGAGGCAAAATGTCCAAACAACGCCCCAAATGCCCTTGATGGATTAAGGCCGAGGCGGATGTCGAAGCGGGTCAGGTCGAAGTGGATGCTGCTGTGTTGGCATTTCTGGAACGGTATCTGGTTAGGGTTGAGCTGTTTAGAGCGTCGGCGTCGGGCTGAGCAGGTTTCGAGGATCCGTTCAGACAGAGAAATGCAGTCAGAGTAAAAGGATCCTCAGTACTTGTGCCAATGGACTGCCGTCAAGGACTTTCCGCTGCCGCGCACTCCGAAAGCGAAGAAAGCGGACTCTGGGCAGCATCGGGCAAGATTTCCCAAGCATTGTTGTTACGAGCTGCTCTTCACCAAATATGACTCCGTCCTGGGAAGGAGTTTGGAATAGAGGCAGAGTACTCCTGCAGTGCAGCGCCCAGTTCAGCCAGCAGTTTGCACGTGGAGTCACTTCTGGATTTTGCTGCAGGTTGGGTGCTCGATCCACTCTGGTCGGTTCGTCCCTGGCACAGTTCCGCGGTGCACTCCTTGCATCCACATCTCCGACAATCCGTGCTCTCCGCTCAGGCAAACCTAGACGGCGACGCTACCGACCACAGGCCGGTTGAAGTGCAATATTCTGCATAAGAAGTTATATAGAGTTATATAACACACAATAATATAAGATAGTGTGCTATGACATGATATAGTACATATATGTTAAATGGCTATATGAAGTGCTATCTGACGTGATATACTGACAACATGAAGCAGAATATAGTAGGACAGAACAGACTACGTTTTCAGTTTCACAGTATGTAGCATGCAAGACTATCCTATGGCGTTGGGCTTGCGAGTGTGGAGTGCGTCTTTGTTCCCAGCCCGATCCGGACTTCTTCGAGCCGGACTCGGATGAGGCCGCGCTACCGGCACGTTCTTTAGAGAGTTTATGGCTTAGGCTTCGGGTTTAAAGGGCACTTAAGGCTTCGGGCACTCAGGGCAATTGGGGCAGCTAGGGTTTAAGGTTTAGGGTCCAGGACACTTAGGGTTTAGGGCACTTGCGGTAAGGTTCAGGGTCTAGGGCACTTACTGTAAGGTTTAAGGCTTACGGCACCGGAGGAGCTTCGGCAAATTCGCCCAGGCGCGTTCCCCAAACTCTAGGGCCATGTGGTTTCCGCTCTCCGACTTCTCCAAAGTATCGGTTAAGGGTTTAAAGTTAGGGTTTAGGGTTAAGGGTTCAGGGTTTAGGGTTTAGGGTCCCAAGCACCTTAATCCATCCAGGAAAGGATGTCTGAACGATGGGTGCCTGGTCATTGCTTCTAGGCCACTGGCTCCCCTTACACAGGATAGGAGGTTGATGGTCTCGGCCTGGGTTTAAGTGGCTGGGTTAGAGGGGTTCAGGGTTTAGGATTATTGGGTTTAGGGTTTTGGGCCTGTGCGGTATGCTCATCCAGCTTGTCATGTGACGCTCGGTACCACAAGTGCCTTCCCCGGTGTCCTACCTCGCTTGTGCACCTTTGCTTGCGGCTTGAACCCGGAGCCATAGCTACCATAGCTATAAAATCATGAAGACTTCAATTGGCCACCCGATACAGAAGTGAGGCTTGCCTCTCAAGTGATCTCGAATTGCGATCTGCCTGAGACCTACTGTGGTTACGACTGAAGGACGTCTTCGGGCAGTGCTGGGCTCTTTTGGGGAAGTAGGGCTATAAATCCTAGCATCTGAAGCCTAAGACAGAGCACAGCCGGGACATCCAGAAATGCACCATGCTCGGCATCCAAAGTTACAGTAAAGCAAACAGAACTTGCAACCACGACGTTATACCTCCTTTGGTCCTGCAGAACCAGAGGCCCCAAGCCCTCAACCCTGCTCCTGCAAGTGTGAAGGCGGACAGTGACACCACGCTGCCATGTTCCGAGAAGGCACTGCTGATCTTGAACGGTCAAGGTCTCGAAACTTCTGTAGGGAGCCCAAAATCTGTATACTTGGAAAAGCAACACAAGAGATATATGTATATATATATATATATATGTACATATATATATATACACTATACGCGCACATACATCTGCAGGTTCTCTGTTGTAGTGGATATGGAAGGTTAGGGCTAAGGGTTGGCGTGAAGTCTCTATGGTTTATGCTTTTGGGCCGTCGGCCCCCAGCTTTAATCAACCTTGGGTTTGCAGTGGTGGTTTTCGCTGTGGGATTCGGGGTCGCGGCGTGGAGTTGATATGGCGTGCTTGGGAACGGAGGGCGAGTACTGTGAAGGCCAGTAAGTTTGTTTGCCGTGTATGAAGTCCTTTATCAGTCTCTGATGTTTACCTGCATTTCTTGCCAGGTCTTGCCTTCTGCTGGAGATGGCCCAACGACGCGAGAGCCGAGATCTTGAGCAGAAAAATGACAGAGTATTCTGCTGTTTTCCGGGATCTCGACTCAGTGTGGGGATTGAGAACTGGTAGATTGTTACGTACTGCAGTCGAGCCATCGGATGCCCCATCACCCCCAACTCCAAACCGGACCATACACCCTCAACCCTAGAACGATGCGCTGTTGCATTCAGTCGGCTTCAGTTTCGGTGCTTGATGTCCCTTTCCGTGCCTGTCTGCCTGTCGTTGTGGGCGCTGCAGCCCTCCCGTGCGAGCATCCTGCGCGAACTGTTTCACGCAGTGAATGATAACGATCAAAGCCGAGGGCTCCACTTACTCAAACCATGGGTTATTGGCTTACATAATGCAACTGCTGGTTCCAAGCTTTAGGATTCGAGCAGCAACTCAGGGTTTGTGAAAGCTTCTGCGGCTCACAGTCGTTGCGATTTTAGGGCTTGCAATCTAGCCTAGCGCTCTGACAGCGTTCCTTGCAACAAACACCTTCCGCATGAGGATGCCTTCATCAACGTGAAGATATCAAGTTAAGCGTCTTTGCAATCAATTCGTGTTGATGTTCGGTTTGTGGTTCGTGCTGAAGTATGGCAGCTAGCCCCGTGTTTCCACCAGGCACGGGCCGCTTGTGAAATCGCTCGCAGATCGTGTTTCCTAGTGGTGTGTCCTGAACTGCTGAACTCTTGTGGCACTTGATGGGTGAGGCATGGTCTAGTAACTAGTATGCAAATTGCAGATTGGAGTAGTGTAGGTTCAGGGATGTTCAGGGAGCATGTGTTGAGAGCCACGGGTAGCGCAGTTTTCCGGTCTGCATTGTTGCAGCTTCGGAGCAGTAGCACCCTTTCGAGAAGGGACTTTGTCCATGCTGCTGTCTAAGAAAAACTTCGAAGCCTAGACGGCTTCTGCGTTGGGAGAAAGGCGAGCTCAATGATGTCGAAATTCTGGACCGGATCAACGAGCGGTTCGCTGAACTGGAGGCCATGATGTGGGTTGCTGTGAGCAGGTAGTGGGCGTTTCGCAGGAATGTTTTTCCACTCCACTTTGCATTAACGCACCCTCTTTCATCTCTTTCCCATGCTTGCTCGCTCACTCGTTTTTCTCTAGCGAGTATGATGACGCCAGGCGAGCGTCTCGCCTGTTCCACTTCTCGACGCCCGCATCAGCGAGTTAGATCGCTTGGTCAAGGCGCTGCAGGGGTGATTCGTGTCGAGAGCTTCAACCACGAAACGGACCTCGAAACCTCATAAACCTCGTAGACCCTAAACCTAAACCTCAAAAACCTAAGCCCTAAACCTCCTCAAAACCCTAGACCCTTTGAACTGCTTTGTGCGGCTTTGCGGAGTCCGGCCCAGGCTATCATTATGCAGCGCGGTGGCGAATCTTTGGAGATCAACGTCGACGAACATTTTCCACAAGTGCGCATTTGCCTTACGGAGCGTTTGCTTTTTTCAGGGTTGCGCTTCTGCGTCCGCCTGGTGGAAGTCTTGTTCTGCATTTTCGCTCCGACATGAGGTTTGGCGGAGGCTGGCATCATTATCTCAGGCTACCTGTGCAAAGTACATCCTGTCAAGGGTGGAAGGGTGGAAGCAGTAGCGTGAGCTTGACTTTGGGCCGCCCTGTAGTGGCAGTGGGCAAATGTTACCAACACTCCACGATTTTGCTGCCAGAACATGATGAGAATGATTCCCCGCTGAAGTTTCCCACGATCAGCGGCAAGGCCGGGGTCTGTATCCTTACGACAATAGTCAGACTATGGTTACGGATCAGTAATGATAGGGTACTATGATGTTCGTGTAAGTTGCAAAAGCTACAAGTGCCGACCTCTGTGTGACACTTTGTGCTGCGTGTGAAGTTGCAGCCTTCTGGTGCTTTCTGCGCAGGAGTTTGAGTCTGAAGTGTCCAAGTTATCGAGACGGCGGTCGAGCTTTGATCCTCCAAAGATGGACTGCGCAGTCTTGCAGGTCATATTTCTTGTGGTGTTCCCAGAGCCTCCAAAACCCCTTAATTAAGGAATATACCTCAAATTATAATAGGATCCCTAATATGATTTAAGGTATATTCCTTAATTAAGGGGTTTTGGAGGCTCTGGGTTCCGTTTCTCGTCACGCCCAAGCTCGGCTTCAGGGTTCTTGGTGTTGGGGTCACGAATGGTCGCGGCATCTCTCGTGGTGCTTGGGAGGACACGATTACCGAAAAAGTCTTGGACACCCAAACCAAAGATGCCCGGCCTTTGGCTTTAGGACGTCTACGACTCACGCTCTACCTGTTAGTGTTTAGGGTTTAGGGTTTAGGGTTTAGGGGTTTAGGGTTTAGGGGTTTAGGGGTTTAGGGTTTAGGGTAGTGACCAGAGCAGTTCAGCAGACAGCCCAGGAGTACTACAGATTCGGCGAGTCGACGTGGGATCTGTTCCTCTTTATCGGCACGGGTGCTCTAGGTCCCGAGCCTCAGAAAAACTCACAGCCCTCTCAGGGTTTAGGGTTTAGGGTTTAGGGTTTAGGGTCAATGATTTGATGGTGTATTATGGGGTTGAGGAGTTTGCGCCTAGCGACATGAAGGCGTGCTCTTAGGGTTTTGACTTTGGACTGCTGTGGTGTGATCGTTTTGTCGAGGTCCCCTGGGCTCTTGTCAAACCTTCGTGCTGGCCGTGGTCAATGTCATCATGCTCCTGAGTCCAGAAAGACACGATAGACTATAGAATCTGGTTTAGGGTTTAGGGTTTAGGAAGCCAAAATAATTGCGAACATTGTTCCTTAGGGTTCCTTACTGTAAACTTCGTAAATGTACTATGACATTGTGTAGCCAAGAACACGGCACCACCATAACTACCAGCAACAACATGTTTGATGTAGCTAGCGCTACCACCAGCACCGCCGCGACAAGGTAGCCTCCCTGCCATTCCTGGCATTTTCTTGCCTCTCCAATTTGAAGGCTCGAAGCTGTAAGGCTAGATCTCCAGATTGGCCATCGCGCCCAGGCAGATCGTCTTCGTGGGCATCGCCTGGTATAACTTCCTGGAACCTGAAGTGGACGAAAGGTCGATTCTGGATGCTCTCCGCTGGCGCCGTTCCTCAGGACGATGGCCAGTTATCAACTTGCCTCGAAGCCTCTGGCTCAAAAACCCTAACCCCCAAACGCTTACATGAGTTGTGCCTTCCACGGTGTGGGTTCTGCCGACCTTAACCGCCTAGGTGGAAAAAGGTGCCCCCCCAAAAAAACCCTTACATGACGCGTCGTTTGTTGAACGAAGGAGGTCGAAGCCTCGGTAGATGGCTACGAGGGGAGTGGTGCGCTCGTGAACCCATGTCTCCAGAATTGCGAAGGCAGCCAAGTTGTCATCAAAGTGTGATGCACCCGAAGCCCAAAACCCGATATCCGATACGCTTTGGAGCTTCAGGTTTGGAGTGTCGTCCAGCAGGGTCTTTCGAAGTGGGTTCAAAATTAGGGTCCCCTTCTTGGGCTCCTATTATAATACGGCACCTAAGATTTAGGATATTCAGAAAGGGGCCCTAATGTTGACAACCACCCAAGTCAATCAGGGCCTTGGTGGCAGGACACGCCCTCAGCGAATATGGGAGTTTCCGAACATAGGGGATCCGAATTTAGTACCCTAAATAGTAGGATCCTTATTATAAAGACCCCAAAATAAGGTACCCCTAATAAACCCTAAGCCGAAGGACACGCCCTCAGCGAGTATGACGCGCAGTCTCAGACTTCCCTCGCGGAGTTTTTGTCATAGTTGGGTAACATTTTACATCTTTATGGGTACTTAAACCCAATAAGGAATCGACATATTTTTATGGGTACTTATACCCAATAGGGAATAGAAATCTGAATTTTTAATCCTATCCCAACCATGAACTAGGAGCGGGTGTGCTCTCTTGACAAGCTTCTTGGCCCGCAGCTGTTTCATGCCGTGGGTTTTGTGGGGTTTAGTGTTTCGTGTCAGACTATGTGAGAATCGTTAAGCTTGGTGGTGGCTTGCATGACAACTTTATTCTTGGTTTGGTTTGCTTGCCCACATTTGTCAACTGAGCCCTTTGTAAGGTCATTGCACATCTCCGGGCTGCAGGTATCTCTGCTGGATAACATTCGCCACTTGGCTTGTCATTACGACCCCATCTTGACGCACATCCGCATGTTCCCTCTGCTCAGCCCAATCTGTGCGAGGCAAGTATGTGAAGCCAGACGCCGTTGGCTTTGAGGCCGTCTTCACGGGGCAGATGCTATGCAGCTTGTTTGCACTTGTTGTGCATGTGCATGATCTAGCAGTCTCTGCTGTCTGCTTTGTATGACCAGCTTGTGAGGTCTGGTTGCTTTGGTATGCTGGTACCTGATGGTTGCCAAGGAGGCCAAGCCTTCAAGCCTCAAACCCCGAACCCCGAAAGTCACTCAGAAGCCCTAAACGGGCCTAAACCCATGCCAAGATAATCTCTACGAACTCGCAGTGCTCTGGTTTCTTGTCCGTCGATTAAGCTGCAAGCATGCCCGGAGCAAAAATGCATGCAGACCTCCCCTCCTCCTCCTCCTGAACTCCTGAACCCCTAAACCAATACACCCCAGAAGCCCCAACGCCAGATCAATCATGCTCTGGCTCTGCACCGCGGGATCATGGCGCTTCCTCGGGGCGCCTCGTCTGTTTGGCTTTACCGTTTAGCGTTTAAGGCCTAGGTTAGGGTTTAGGGTTTAGGGTTTAGGGTTTAGGGTTTAGAGAACTTTAGGGTTTGGTGTTTAGGGTTTCGGGTTTGGGCCTCAACTCTAGTCCCAAAAAAAGCGTCTGGTGAACCGAGGACCGACCAAGATCATCAGCAGAGAGAACCCCTTCACCCTCGTTACGCACTACAGGAGCTCTGACGGGGAACATCTGTGTTGCTTTAGGATCGGTTCCAGAGCTTCCATGCTGCTCTTCTATTGCCTCCTTGGGTTTTCGTGTTTTGGGGGTTATCCTGTTGATTCCGTGGCTGCTGACAGTGTGTGCTTCTGGTCGACCGCCTCAGCGCATGCACGGACCGTCAGTGCAGGTTTCTGTCAATTCCGTACCGGCGCAAAGTCATCAGCAGCTTCCTCTTGGCATACAGGCAGGTCAGGGTTCAGCGATTCCTGGGCTTTGAAAGCTCCATGTGCCCGCTTTCCGTAAAACCTGTACATTGATCGTCACTCGAACGGGTTCAGGACCACCTCATGTACAGGGACGGTCTGCGAACCGCGACATTTGATCTTGTCTTCAGCGGTGTTGGCTTCGCTTGCTGTCACATGTGTTTGCTCCCTTGGAAAACTCCCCTGTCAGGCTGTTTGCAGCCTGTCTGCTGATCTACGTCGGGACATTCTTTCTCGCTTCTCGGACATCTTGTCGTCCCTAGCCTTCCTCCTTCACCCAGACCGTAACACTGGTTTATGCTTTGATGCCCTAAACCCCAGGACCCTTCGGGCTTAGAGAGTCTTGGGGCTGAATTACCTCCTCACCCAACTTCGGCTGTGTGTCGCGGTAAGGTGTACACCGTGAATGTTACCGAGCTGATCCTGAATGTCTTTGCCTCAGCTCTGATGCTTCCTGGGAGTTCCAGATTTTAGGGTTAAGGGTTGGGGTCCAGTGGTGTTGGAAGCTTAAAGTTGATCGGGTGCACTGGCAGCCTCTGAGGCAGTTGCCCTCGGCATCATCCTGGATATTGACGATGCCAGGCTGCGAACTAGTCCCCACATCCGCAACCCTCATACTTAAAAACCCTCAATCCTAAACCCTGCTGAGCTTAAACCCTGACTCCCAACGCCTAAACTCTTGAACTGAACCCTAAGCCCCTGACCCTAAACCCTCATCCTAAACCCTGAACCCTGAACCCTGAACCCTAAACCCTCAACCCTGATACCCTACACCTTGAAACCCTAATCCTAACTGGGCTTTGGAGCACTGACGCGAGCTGAGGACTTGCTGTTCGATGCGCTCGCTACGACTCCGGGTCGCCACCTGGTGCCTTTGGCTGACACTGGCAGTTTAAGGGTTTAGGGTTTAGGGTTAAGCTTAGGGTTCAAGGTTTGGGGTTTAGGGTTCAGGGCTTAAGGTTTAAAGTCTTTGGAAGTTTAGAGTTTAAGGTTTCGGGGAGCCGTTTAGGGTGTAAATTTGAAGGCTGCTTCGGGCAGTTGTGCTTTCAGGGTTAGACTCTGTGTCGCAGTCGACACGTCGACCGTCGGGGCTTTTGTGATGGTGTCGGTTATCAAAGCTGGACACTCGAAACCAGGGTGTAAGATCGAGGTTTAGGGTGATCCGATGTGTAAGCCCTGGATTTTGGCATTTGCATCACGGGACGTTTCCGTGATCACAATGTCTAGCTTGACTAAAAACGACATGATGAGCTCCCTGCCATTATTCTGGAACAGGGACCTCAGCCTCCAGTGGAAGCTGTATCCTGGTCCATCTGCGTTCCACCCTTCAGTACTTTCACGGTACAGTGAGATCCTGCCACAAAAAGTCAGAGGGCAACACTGCAGGAATACGGAAAACCTCAAGGCATGCCGTATCTGCAGCGATGACATCTTACGTAGATGGCTGCGGCGGCCCTGACAGGTGAATTGCATGGACCCGTTGCCTATGAAGTCGTTCCCTCGATTCCGGGGCAACTCGTCGTTTTGGTTAGGAACTTGTCGGTAGGCTTCAGCAGATGCTGCTGTTGTGACAAGATTGCCTGGGAAGTTCTTCGTCCAGACCTGCTCATCCAAAACAGCAAGGTGCGGATGTGAAGTCGCTTATCAGCAGTTGCTTGCGCCTTGTTTGCAAGCTTGCCCAAAGCCGTGGCTGATGTGGCGGTGACCCAACACGACTCAGCGATTTCCACATCATTGGAGTCCCAGTCTGTTCGTGCTTTGCTCTTGTCCGCCGTAGTCTCGCTGAGGATTCCTGGTGGCACCTTCATGGTCTTCTTTCTGATGCTGGCCCCAATGGTTACCACTCTCACAGAAGTGTCGCAAGCGATGTGTGGTGGCAACATGAATTTCGTCTGGACTGCAGACAAGCGCAACTCGCCAGCAGCATCTAAGCATGACGGGCTGTAGCAAAGACCAAAGCTTTGCACGCAGCACAGGAAACGTGATCCTGATGGCGCCGACTACTGGAACAGTCACGGGAGACATCTCAGACGGCATACGGTGACTTGGCCCGCATCCACCCTTGTAGTGTGATTGGATGAGTCCTGATGCATGGCATGGCACACGTGCCAAGCAGGACCCAAGCCTTCGTTGAAGCCGAGAAAACTCTGGATTCGGCTTTTGCCGGAGCGGTCTACAGTGTTTGGCTTCCAGACGTGCGCCTTGGCCGGTGAGGGCCCCGCTGGACATCCCTTGCAAACCCAAACCCATCCAACCCCTACACCCGTACAGGCGTCTAGATTCTATGAATCCTGAAGCCAAAATCCCCCCTGAACCGATGAGGGACGCTAGTGTAAAGCCTCAATAGCAGGGCCCCAGTTTTTTTGGGCCGCCGGCGAGGATCTCTACAGAGTCTTTTTTCAGCCTCTTATCCACCTGGAGAGTTTCGAGATACCCAGAGAGCACCAGTTGTTCGTATTCGGTTTTGTTGAAGGAGCATTCTCGCAGGGTCTATTTCGGGTCCTACCCTCCCTAAACCCTAAACCCTAAACCCTAAACCCCTAAACCCTAAACCCTAAACCCCTAAACCCTAAACCCTAAACCCTAAACCCTAAACCCTAAACCCTAAACCCCTAAACCCTAAACCCTAAACCCAGAGCTCGGGCCTTCACATCTCAACTCCTAGGGCAAGCTGACATGGGAAGTGCTTGCAGTGGCCGAAACCTGCCACTCCCTTCCTCAAAGGGATCCTTAAAGGGATCTATAGGGTTCCTTAAAGGGATCTATGGGGTTTAGGGTTTAGGGTCTACTTGGAGGGGCAGGGGACTTAGTAAGTAGGTTTTAAGTAGGGTTATAAGTACCTTAAATGGAGTTACCCTAATTATAACCCTACTTATAACCTATTTACTAAGTCCCCTGCCCTTCCAAGCAGGTGGTGACTGAGCGACTTCCCCGTTGGCTCCTGGTTTGCGTTGTGCACCTTGCGTTGCGTTGCTGGATTTGCGACTCTCTGGATGCCGTCAATCCCGTAACGTAAAAGCCAGAAAGTTGGAATATGATTATCCTAAACCCTTTATGGTAAATTATAGGGTATCCTACCCTGAAAAGATATTCCAACTTTCTAGAGTTCCCTTTAAGTTAATATCCTTCTACGAACCTCCAGTCTCCATTGTAGTTCCTTTTTTTGGGGTTACCTTTTAGGATCCTTAGTATAAAATTGGTAAAACCAAAAACGGAACTACAATGGAGACTAGAGGTACAGCTAGAGCTCCAAGTTACCGACGAAAATTAGCAACTGCAGCTGTAGGTTAAGGCTTAGGGGTTTAGGGTTTAGGGTCAATATTGCTTCCTACGTCGCCTGATCTGCCCCCTAAACCCTAAACTCCTACACCCCTAAGTCCTCGAAGCCCAGATTCCCAAAGCTCCTAGTTTCAACCCTTTAGTCCCGAATCACGGATGTCTCAGAGGCGCGACCTCTCCGACTCAGCCATCCTATCGCTGGAGGAGACTGTAGACTTCTTCAATCCTCAGTGTACAGACATCGGCGACCAGGAGTGACAGGGCTTAAGGTTCGGGTTTAGGGTCCCAAACTGTATAGTATGGTTATAGTAAGGAACCCCAAGGAATACTCTTCATAATAATGTAGGAACCTGATTAAGAAACCCTTGGCCTATAACCCCCAAAATTGTACGAGTCATATGAGGAACCCTACCAAAAGCCCAAGGTTTCTTAATCAGGTTCCTACATTAGGGTTCAGGGTGCAGGGTATCGGGCCTAGGGGTTTGGAGTCACAGCGCACTGTTTCTAAGGGGGGGGGGGTTCTGAACATGAGGTGTAGCCTGTTTCGATGTTCTTATATTAACGATCCTGCTACAAGTATTCGGTTTGTCCTGACCCTAAACCCTAAACCTTAATCCCTAAACCCTAAACCTTAAGCCCTAAACACTAAACCCTAAACCTGTAATGTTTCTCACCCCAAAAGCTGCAGACTTCGAGCCGTTCTGAGCTCTCCATCCGGGTTCGTCCGATCAGGCTTCCGAGACACTCCAAGTTTCCTTAACTAGGGAATACTAGGCAATGATATTGGGGGAGCTAAGAAGCCAGGGATGATGATAATCCCTACTAGATAAGGAGCTAAAGAGCCAAGGGACCCCCCAAAATCACTGGTTAGAATATACCTGAACTCAAACTAGGGATCTTGCAAAAGACTTAAGGCATATTCCTTAATTGAGAAAATTTTGGCGTCTCTGGGTTCGGGTTCCTCCGATCCAGCTTTAGGTCGGCGAGCTTCAGCAGGAAGCATACGAAAGTACTTCTGGCTCGGGATTTGAGGGTTCCGGGATTAGGGTTCAGGGTGTCGGATTCCGAGTTCCGGGTTTCGGCTCGCTGGGCTGCTTCAGTTCGGTCTTCTTGCTGCTTCCTTGTTTGGGCCATTTTGGGCCTCTAGGGGAGCCCTTCCGGGAGTCCGTAAAGGAACCCTTAAAGGAGCCCTTCGTTGGGTCGCGAAAGGAGCCCATGCTGAACTACTTGCGGGAGGTCATCGGGAATGAGAGCATCGCGGGCTGTGCGGATGCCAGGCCGTACTGCGACTCGGCCGGAAATGTCAGCCCTCAGAGCACATCTTTGCAGCACCTAAGCCCTATCCTGCATTAAACCCTAAAGTCCTCTAATTACACCCTAAGCTTAAATTCGAAACCTCAAGGCCTTGAACCCTTGAAAGGACCCTTTAGATCATCCCCAAGCCCTGGCTCTTGCCAAGGCACTTCCGTGACGAGGATGCCCGGCTTCGGCCACGATGGTGGAAAAGGCTACACGGCTCGCATGCTCTGCCCGGACCCTGAGCCGCAAAAAAGCTTGCGCTTTGGAGCTTCGAGCGTAGGGTTTAGGGTTTGGGGGTTGGGGGTTGGGGGTTTAGGGGTTTAGGGGTTTGGTCTGAAGTTGATGAAAGCTTGCGAAGCGGACCACAAATAAACGTGCTTTTGTTGGTTTCCTTCTGCTTCTCTTCGCTGTCTGCATTGCAGAGCCGCTACAACATAGACATTTCGGAGTTCGGCCTACGATACGTCCATTGCATCTGCATGCATCCGGAGACTTCCTAGGTATGCTACGCCGGAGGGTTGTCATGATTGTAGTTGGGGCCAAACAACCTCAGGAAGAGGTCTTGTTTCATATTCTAGGACTGACAGTGAACCCAGAGACTCCAATATCCCTTAATTACGCAATATACCTTAAATCATAGTAGGGATCCTACTATAACTGAAGGTATACTCCTTAATTAAGGGATATTGGAGTCTCTGGGAACCCCAGGAGCCTGAGGCCCGGAACCTGAACTCCCATCAGCCTCTGGGCCGTACCACCATGAATCATAGATCTGGGAGTTTCCGAAACTAGGGGTACCTTATTTTGGTGTCCTTGTCTATAAGGATCCTATTATTTGGGTATTATGTTAGGGTCCGTCTATTTTCGGAAACCTCCAAATCTTGAAGAAAGGCTCACCCAACGCCAAGCCCTCGTTGACTGTACAGAAAGGAACCATTTCAGAAGCCCAACACCCGTGAATCCACTGCCGGGCAGGAGCCCTAAACCCTAAACCCCTAAATCTTAATCAGGTTCCTACATTAGGCCATAGAGCTCAACAAACGCATGAAGCCCCACCACCCTATGCCTCGCAAGAAACAAGAAACCCAAACCCGTATGTGGACTTCAGAGCCCGCTTCTCTCAACAAGGTGCTAAATCACAGTAAGCTAGACATAGTATCTTGTAGTTATACATATAGCAATCTGTGACACAATATATTATCCAATATGTAGCAAGGCAATACACAATCACAAGAATTAACGTATCTTCCCCAAATAAGAGGGCTTGGAGACTCGGTGATCGTAAGGACACCTGCGAATGTTGGGACCCAGCTGGCAAGTTGAGCAACGTGGAGGCCATGATGATTAGGGTTCAGGCTTTAGGGGTTTAGGATTTTAGGGTTCGGTTGAGGGACGAGGCTTTTCAAACTAGTTTCTTCTCCTTGCTCCTTTGAGCGCCCAAGGAAATTATATCTTAAACTCGGTGGAGTAACCTTTCTTTTCAGAGCGTCGCTCTGCCTAAACCAGAAGATCAGCAGCAATGAATCCTAAATAAGCCCTGATCTGGATCTTGTCCTAGAGATACAGCGAAGTACCCTTACAGTTTTGATAGTGTTCCTTTCGGTAGCCCGTGTAGCTCGAACCCACTTCTGAATATAGCTACCTTACCTGTAACTCTAAACCCTAAACCTGAGACCCTAAACCCTAAGCCTGAAAACCCTGAACCTAAACCGCAACCCATAAACATCAACCTCCTAAACCCTAAACCCTACACCCTAGACTCCCGGGCACCACAGAAAAGGAGTTCAAAAAAAACCTTGAACCCTAGCCTCCAAGCAGAGAGCGCCTCCTTCGGGGCCCAGGGCTGTCCCGTGGGACCTGGTCGGCCCTGCTGGCGGAAGTCGGAGTTTCAGGAGAGCCCTGTGCGCTGTGCTTAACGTGGGTTTAGGGTTTGGGGTTTAGGGTTTAGGATTTAAGGTCCAGGGTTTAGGGTTTAGGTGGGGGCCCTCAGAGTTAGAATAGAGCTTTGGGGTATGGTCTAGTACAAGTCTAATGCGGAGCCCTAAGGAAGAGCATTGGTAGTTATCTAGGCTTCTACAGTAATTCGGGGCTTTGGGGCTTCAGGGTTTTCGGCTGCGAGGTTGCCACCTCTTCCGACACAATCTTGTTGGGAGCTCGGAGGTTCCTAAACCCGAAACTTAGGCCTACCAGCAACTTCCCATCCCTCACATGCAACCCGAGCCCCTAAACTCTTAAACTCTAAACCCCGAACCCCTGACCCCTAAAAACCCGAAAAAATCCCTCCTTCCCTGAAAGAACCATGGCCAGCGCCGCTTTGCAGAAAGAAGGGCACATCAACTTTAAAAAAAAAAGAAAGAACCAGGAGATTCTCGCAGCCCGGACGTGCGTTGAGCCTGAAGCTGAAGAACTCCGGCAAGAGCTTCTGGCCCAGAAAATAGGGGGTACCTTATTTGGGGGTCCTTTAAAGGGTTACCATAAGGGTACTATAAGGGTTCCTTTAAGGGGCTCTATAGGGGTTTAGAGTTTCCGAAAATTAGGGGTACCTTATCTTGGGGGGTCCTTATACTAAGGATCCTACTATTTGGGGTTCGATATTAGGGTCCCCTATTTTCGGAAACGGGAGTGGTAGTGGTAATTTCGGGTTTGCTTTTTGAGCAATGGCTTCAGAGGATGCCGACCGCATAGTCTCAAGATCAAGAGTCCGACTTCATTGCTTCTGAAGCATGGTATGGCTGTTCCGCAAACTTCCTAAACCCGAAAGCCTGAAACCCTAAACTGTCCGAAACTCCAGACACCATCATCCGTTGCTGACATCCCACGGCGGCCCACCCGCTTCGACAATCGTTTCGGACTATTTCCCAATATGGAAGCAGTTCCAGGTCCTAAGCCCTGCAAAGTGGAGGAAGGGTGCCTTCAAAAACAAAGAACCGAGGAGGAAGCTTTAAACCGTGAGCCCGAAGTCCTAAACCTAAGGCCCTACACCCTAAGCCCTCCCTGGTGGCCTAAACCCTAAACCCTAAACGGAAATCGCGCCGCCCTAACGCGAGCGGCCCTAAGAAGCGGTTGCGGGTTGTATCTGAGGCCGGCTTGGGCAAGCTGGGTGGCTTCCATCCAGGCCACCGGCTTCAGAGGGGCTTGCTATTAGAGCTTTCATTATATGGGAGTTTCCGAAAACAGGGGACCCTAACATAGTACCCCCAAAAGTAGGATCCTTGTTATAAGGACCCCTAGCAAGGTATCCCTAATTTTCGGAAACTCCCATATATGGCTCTTGTTCAGGATCGTTGGGCTTTCTGAAGGGCCTCCGAGGCTTTTTTTAAAGAGGTCTTAGGAAGGTTTCTTGTCTAGGATGTGTTTATGAAAACCTTTCTGGGGCTTTCTCAAACCTTGAGGTTTCAGCCCCATAATCAAAAAACGCATTTTCAATCCTAACCTCGCCAGCCCCCCTGAACAACTTCCTGCTTGAGCAGACCCCGTATAGAATCTTCACAAAACCTGATAGGGCCGCATGAACGACAGCCTAACTAACGCGCGAAAACGCCAGAAGCCCTAAGCGAATCGCCCCTCCTTAACAGCTGTGCGCTCTGCCATCCCGAACCCCAAATCCTGAACCCTAAACCCTAAACCCTTAACCCCAAATCCTGAACCGAGAAGGCGTTCGGCCAGTTGCCTGGGGAGCTGCGAGGGAAGAACGAGGCGTTGCTGCTGGCCCAGGCTACGCTTTAGGGTTCCATCAGTGCTTAGGGTTTGAGGTTCAGGGTTGCGGGTTTAGTCTTTGGAGTTAACGGTTGTGTTGTGGCATTTGCTATTGCTCAACTGAGCCAGCGCACGTGTCGGGTTTTTGGTTTGTCCGAGACTTGTGTGGTGGCTCGCACAGCCGAAGCTTTATCGACCGGTTTCTGGCTCGAATCTGGGTCGGGGGCTCTGGTAGGTAGTACTATTTGAGAGACCCCTTCTGAACCCTACTTCTGGCTCTCTTAAAAGGGACCTTATTGAGAGGGTCTTTATCCCCAAGGGTCCCCCTAATCCTAACTCCCATCTGGGGGAGCTCTTGGAACCCAAGCGCCTGTGGCTCACTCTAGTTGAGGGTTGAGGGTTTAGGGTTTGGAGTTTGCGGTTAGGCCCGGTTTCAGGATGTGTCCGTTCTTTCTAGGCATCTGAAAGGGACCAAGAGGCAGTGTGATTCAGGATTTTGCATTTTCATGGTTTGGGGTCTGCGATGGAGCTTGTATATATATATATATATATAGAGAGAGAGAGAGAGAGAGAGAGAGAGAGAGAGAGATAGAGCGGGAGAGAGCGCGTTAGAGACACGAGCATTGAGACGGTATAAGCTGATAGGTTACGAGCATACGCACATACATGCACGCATAGACGCCTACATGCAATTTGCCTTGTTACAGGCTATGTGGGACCACGGCTGTGCTTTTGGAGACAACCTGACAGCGATGAACCTTGGACCAGCACCCTAAGGTAAAAGCCAGAAAGTTGGAATATGATTATCCTAATCCTTCTATGGTAAATTATAGGGTATCCCACCATGAAGCCATATTCCAACTTTCTGGAGTTCCCTGTGCACCCAAAACCCTGCACAGCACTCACGGCCCTGAGTCCTGAAGCCCAAGGCCCCCAGCACCCAAGCTCGTAAACCACAAAACCCTACCAACCCCGAGCTTCTGAGCTTGGAGGCCCGGGGGACTTAGTAAGTAGGTTATAAGTAGGGTTGTAATTGGGGTAACTTCATTTAGGGTACTTATAACCCTACTTGTAACCTACTTACTAAGTCCCCTCGGCCTCTAAGAGTGTCCTCCCGAAGCCGGGAGCTGAGGAATGTTGCCTGGGGGAGTTGTTTCGGGTGGAGTCAGCACTTCGACTGGCTCCTTTGCTTGCGCTTGGTTTTGCTTGTGGGTTTCAGGGTCTGGGGCTTCGGGGTTTGAGGTTGTAATGTTTGGGGTTTCATTGTATCAGGCAAAATTTCACAGACCCAGAGCCGTTGAAGCAGGGTAAGGCAACCGGGAATGCTTTTTAAGTGGCTGCTTGCGCCATGTTGCGCGGGCTTGCATGTGGCCAATGTCTTGTCGGTGTCTGTTTGGCAGTTTCCGGAGTTGCTTGGCCCGATGCTGGTCGTTTTGCAGAAGCCAGCTGCAAAGCCAGGGACAAATCTCCCAAGATTCTTGCCACGGCTGCAGGGACTTCAAGACCGTGGAGCACTTCTGCCCGGAAACTTGCGCCTGCGACATCTCCCGGGCAGGCTCGGGCCTCGCGGGCCTAGCGCCTGTGTCCGTCAGTGCAATTTGCAGCAGCTCCGACCACAGAGCTATGGGAACTTCGACCCTAAACTCGCAGACGCCCGAAAGCCTACAGTAACCCTCAACCCTCAACCCTAAACGACCCCGAAGCCAAGCCCTGATCCCCAAAACCCCCAAATCCCTAAACACCTAAACGCCCGCACCCGACCCCCAAAACTTGCGGCCCTGTGCAGGCAACTCGGCATGCCCAAGGCCTGTGCCTCTTTTAGAACTGGGTCATGTGAATGGCACGGAATGGTTTCTGATCGCTTAAGTTAAGGGCGTTAAGGCTGGAGCGTCAGGCCGCTGGGGAGGACGTGCGAGCAGCTGAACCGGTGCGTCCTTCACAACGAGACCTACTTCTGCACTGGCGACTACGAGGACAGCATTGGTGCCCTAAAGCACTGCGCCTTAAAACCTAGAGCCCGAAAGTCCTAATCTTAAACCTGGAACCCTAAAGCCCCAAACCCCACTTAAAGCCTAAACCCTAAGTGTTGAGGCCATTGTTGACGATGCCAAAGTGGAGGTCTTGGACGTCGATCGGTACCTGCAATACCAGGATCAGGCAAGCGGACCTCTTCGCGGAAGCAGTTTAGGTTTCAGCTTTTGGGTTTTTGATGCTGTTTGGGGTTTAGAGTTTCGGTATTGAGGTTTCATCTTCTTGGCCGTGGGACGTCGAGGTTTTAGGACTTACTGTTTCAGGGGTTTGGGCTTCGGGGCTTTGGGGCTTCAGGGTTTCGGTCTAAAGGTTGTCGGTCGCTGCTGCTGTTCCACGGCAATGTCTCAGAGAGTTCTGAACGTAGAAACCCTGAGCCCTAAACCCTAAACTATGTTGGCTAGAGACTCGTCCAGTCGCAAAAAGGCCCATAAAGGAAAAAAAATGCGGTGTAGGATGAAGACTCGAAGTGGCTGGGGGGTCAGGTGATGGAGGCGATGGTGCGGCTTCTCGTTCAGGCGCGGGCGCTCGCACCGTTTCGGCTTCAGCGATGCTGTCTCTCCCTGTCTGCTGACCGTCTGAAGACTTGTGCTGTACCAGTACCTGTGCGTTATCCAACGACACAAAGAGCAAATACATGAACATTCCGGAAAATTGCTGTCCAAGCCCCTTCACATGCTACCTAAACCCCAAGCCCAAAACTCTCTGCCGTATGGTCCTCAAACCCTACAAGCCCTATGTGCAAGCCCTGCAAGCCTACCTTATAAAACCCTTAAGCTCTCGAGAAACCCGATTGCCCATAGCCCCATGCACTCTAAACCCCCAAACCCATGGCCCCATGCACCCTAAACAAGGTTGGAGGAAATGGGCTCGAGCCCTGGATGATCCGGGTGCAGCTGGACCTTCGTGGGTTTTCTTTGGAAAAAACAGCAGTTCGGGTTCGTTCTCAAGTGTTCTTTACAGGGATCTGTAGTAGTTCTGTAAGAGGTTTGCGAGTTGAGGTTGACCGTCTTGCGCAGCCTGACCCTAATTAGAGACCCAGGAAGCACATAAGCATAAGCATTTTATATGGGATATCCCTACCCATTATAAAGGGGTTTATATGGGATATCCCTATCCTAATTTGTGCTTATGTGCTTGTTGGGGCCCCTACCTAAACCCTAAACCCTAAATACGATATCCCAAGACCTTTTAAACAAGCATTGAGGCCGCTATAGTAACCCTAAGCTTTAAAAACCCTGATTATTGAGCCTTCGTTGTAGAACCCTTAAAGGGCAGCCATTGTTGAGGCCCCCATGTTAGTCGAACCACGTCAACCGAGTGGCTCGAGCATGAAGATATTCCAGGGTGCTGACGCCCGTTGGCAGACCTTCTTCCTAAACCCCGCAAAGAGCCAAACCCTCAAGCCTTTGAGCCCTAACCCCAGGAATCTTGAGAGCACGCCATGTGTCCTGATCAAACGAGAGAGGTCTGCCGGCAAGTCAGAGGAACTCTTTGGTATAATCTAGCAATCGACATAGCAAGATTCTGAAGGTTGTGGCTTGCCGGGAAAGTTGCCTTACCTGCTGGCACCAACTTGGCCCTGCAACCCAGAGCCATGATGGATCGGCCCCTGCAACCTTACGCTAAACATAAGGCCTATAGGCCCCCGCGTAACTCAGCATGGGGAGGTCAACATCCACGCCGGACCAAGTACCAGAACACGCTGTCCAGAACTGCTCACTTCTCAAGTCACCCTGAACTCTGAACTTCCGGGCTTGTGCTGCCTCTACTATTTGCTTAAGAAACCCCCCAAAAAATACAAATAATAATCCCTATATTACCCCCATAAGGAATATATTATTTATTTTTTGGGGGTTCTTAAGCAAATAGTAGGCCTGGTTTTAGAACGCTCCATGTCCAGGACAACGCGGGACGAAGACTCTCAGGGGCCCGCATCCTTCAGGCAGTCGATGCCGACTGGGAGTTCCTTGGCCAAGAAATCCTTGACCCTAAACCCTAAACCCTAAACCCTAAACCCTTAAACCCTAAACCCTAAACAAAACTAAACCGTGGAGTCGGATCCCCAAGCCCAGACCCGCGACACTCTATCACTCCGGCAAATCTTGTTGGTGGGGTGAGGACCTAAGCAAACCTGTGGACCCAGAGAGTGACAACCCCTAAACCCGAGACCTTAATATCATCGTGTTTATTTCTTTTTGTTGTTACTACTGTTTCTACCGTTCTTCTCAGTATTATTGTTAGCTTTGTTATGATCGTTGTTGTAGCGAAAGCAAGACATACCTAAATACATGAATCATATCAATAATAACAATACCTACTACACCTCGTTGCTGGTCGTTGCCTCGGTCGATGCTCACCTTACCTCACCTCACCTCACCTCAATACCAATAATACTAAAAAGCAAGAATAAGATTCCTAAGGATAAACATCAGCACAATAACAAGTGTAAGTCGTATTGTTATTGTTAACCACTGTTACTACTCTTACTCTTATTGATTTTCTTATTCATTCTGATTCGCATTCGTATTCATGTTGTTATTCTGAGTCTTAGTCCTTTTCTTATTCCTGTTCTTATTTTTCTTGCAGTCATCAGCTCTAGCAGCAGCAGTCTTATTGTGATGTTTGTTTACGCTGAGTAGCATTGCTTTCCCGAAGCCTTCCAGCTCAGGTACATCATGATCTTAGCCAATCCAGAGATGAGCAAGTTCGCAATTGCGGCAGCCATAGAGAATCTCGAGGAT